CAAAATAAATAAATAAATAATAAAGTATGATTACTAGATTTTTGTTAAAAAAAGTATTGATTAAGAAAATAAAGCGACGACGTACGGAGGAGCGCTGACTTGATCAACAGGATTATACTAGAAGGTTTATTTCTTTCCCGTACAACTTAAATATTCAAAAATGATTTAAACAAAATAAATAAATAAATAATAAAGTATGATTACTAGATTTTTGTTAAAAAAAGTATTGATTAAGAAAAGTATGAGGGTTACGGTTGATCTGCATTATTTTAAAAGAGATTGTAATTAATAAGTAAGTAGAAAGAAATATAAAGTAATTTGCCAAAATAATTATTCTATTTACCTAGTGAGCTTTGTTTCATTGGTTATAATTAAAAACACTTTATTATAAACAAATAAATAAAAGAGATTTAAAAAAAAGGTCAAAATTAGGTCATTCTAATTATTAATAAAATCTTTAGGATCATATTTAATTAGGAGTTTGGAAGGAAGGATTGGATTACCGATCCATGGAACCCACCAAACCGATATTTGGGTGTAACAAAATGCCATGAGATTAACAATCTTATGAGGGGGTGTTTGTTTTAAAAGATTAGACCATGGGATTGGACTATTAGTCCGGATGAACTAATAGTCTGGATGAACTAATAATCCGTTGTTTGGTATTAAATTTTTACTTTGAACTAATAGTTTCTCCGGACTATTAATCTTATATTTGTTGGCTTATTGTATCAGGGGGGTTGGGACAGAATTCGTGGGATGAGTTATCCCATGGGATTAGCCAGTAAATTACATTTTTTGACCCTCAGTAGTTCATCTTTTGCCCATTTTGTTTTCATGGCAACCTCATCTTTTGCCCAATGGAACTTCTTGCATCTGTGTTCTATTTTTATTTTTATTTAATACTCTCTTCCCATGTGACAGACAAACAAATTTACTTTACTCTCATATCAAAGATTTGGAAAATTATTTAGTAGTGCTAGAAAATTATTTAGTAGTCATAAAATTTAAAAATCTCAATTACAAATTAAAATAAATTTATGTAATATTTATTAATATTCTATTTATTTAATTTTTTAAAAGTTCTAATAAAAAAATTAAATAAAATTTATAATTCAGATTTAATTTTCATATTATTTAGTAAATAATTCAAAGGGCAAAATAGTCTTTTGAGCATTTATCATTCTCTATAATATCCCAAACAAACATGAGATTCAATAGAATAGTCCAATCCAGACTTCTAATCTCATGACTAAACAAGCATAGGATACAAATCTAGTCCAATCAAATAGTCCGGGACAATGTATCATAGGACTAACAGTCCGATGGATTACAATCGCCCATTATTCAGTCCGTCTAAACAAACACACCTTCAGAGTATTAATGCCCTTCCATGGTGGGATTAACATTCCTGTGGGAGGGATATCTAATCCCTTCACACAAATTGATGGTTAAATTATCACTTTGCCTTCCACTTTATAAAATTAATAAAATTATATTTTATGTGAGGAGGGTTTTTAGGTAATTTTATAGATTAACTAACTATAATACCACCACACTAGTACACAAGTAAACACAATTTATCTTGCATCTCCAATCTAATATTATCACACTAACAATCTCCTCACTCAATTTTACCATACTCATAATCTCATACAATTTAATCTATCAAACAAGGGAGACCTAACATTGTTAATTTATTGACATGACATTTTAGGTAGGTTTGGACATATTTTGACTTCTATGCTTTGAAGGAGTGTTTTGATAAGTTAGTAAAAAGTTAATTTTTTGGCCTTTTAAGTTTATTTTGTCTCTTTTGCGAGTAAGTTATGTGAGGGGTGATGTGGCCCAAAATGAGTAAAAAACTGGAAATTAGCTTTTTATCAACCTCCCAAAAGACTCCAAAGTCTTCACTGGATAATATAAACAAATTTTATAATTATTTTTTTATTTCAAGAGTGAATGATAAAATTAAATGACAATACCAGGCAATTAAGCTCGAGAGCAATGTCTTAACCTGACGTTTTAAACATTAGTTTGGAGCATTTTGACGTCTATGTTATAGTCATTAATATATAACATAAAACAAAATTTATAGTAATTATTTTTTATTTTAAGGTAATGTGTCACCTCTCATATCTTCATTGTTGAGAATTTGAATAAATTATTTTTAGTTTGGAGCATTTTGACCTTTATGTCATAGTCATTAATATATAACATAAACAAAATTTATAGTAATTATTTTCTATTTTAAGGTAACGTGTCACCTCTCATATCTTTATCGTTGAGAATTTGAATAAAATATTTTAAAAAAAAAATAAATAAATTCTTCCGATGACTTCCTTTTTAAGAAATAAAAGTAAAATATTGACTTTTATTATATTTTTGGATTGTTGGCAAGCGAGGGGGTCGAGAAAGGTGTCATAGTGAAGGGTTGCGATGGAGGACATGAACGGTGGAATGTTACTGCTGTGTTAAAGAAGACACCGCAGTAATTGTTGTGCTTTAATTTGAGGGTTATTATAAATTTATTTTTATGATCTGAATTATTTATTTTGTAGAATTTGTTAAGTATTTTATATCTACTAAAAATTATATTTATCAGATATCAATAAATGTATAATCAGATTGCATATTTTTTATCCTATTTCTCAAAAGAAAATTTTTTTGTTTATTTTTTTTATAATAAATGTAATTTGGATTATATAATTATTAATATCCGATTAATATGATTTTTGATATGAATGAAGTACTCAATGAACCTTACAAAATGAACAATTGAATCATAAAAATAAATTCATAATAACTTTCAAATTAAGACATAATAATTATTATCGAGCCTTTGGCACAGAAGTAGTCCTCATTCAGAATGGTGACATCGACAAGAAGTCCTAAGGAGTGAAGCTGGCGGTGGGTCAATGGAGGTGGTAAGGAAAGGGCTGAGTGAGTGTAAAGGGCAATTAGATTATTTATTTATTTTTAAAAAAAATTTAAATGAAAGTAAAATTGTAATAAAATAAAAAATAAAGAAAGTATAGATAAAATTTGAGCAAATTTCATTTCACTAAAACTTTAAAAAATATTTACATATTAAAATGATTTGAACCGTTCATTTTTAGGACTTGAAGGACTCGTGAAACCTATCATATGTCTCATTTCGATAATCTGAACTGTTCACTTTTTAGGACTTGTTTGAATATAATATTTATGTAAAAAATCAAAATGATCAGATATTAATAATTAGGACAAATTACATATACCCCCTCGAGGTTTAGCAAAATTACAGATATTCTCCTGAGGTTTAAGAAATTTCAGATACCCCTGAAAGTTATATTTGCATAACAAATTAGGGGACAAATTATTATGAAAATATAAATTTCATGGAGCAATTTGTTATGACAATATAAACTTCAATGGAGTATCTGTAATTTCCAAAACCTCAGGGGTATCTGTAATTTAGCTAAATCTCGAGGGAGGTACATGTAATTTGCCCTAATAATTATATATTTGGATTAATATTATATTACAAAAAAATGATGGTTCGTCTTGAAATTATATTTGTTGTTTATTTTTTAAAAATAAATATGATTTAAACATATAACTATCGATATCTAATTATTTGATTTGTTTTGGCATAAATATTTTATTGAATGAGTTCAAAAAAGTGAATGATTTGAATTACCGAAATCGATTTCAAAATGGACTTAACTAAACCCAAACACTTTCTCAAATGACAATTTGGGAAAAATCAAACATTAAAATTAATAGAACATTGCCATTCAAATCAAAAAAATTAGATTCACTTTTCAAGAGTAATGATGTGATAATCAATTAAAATATTAAAAGTAACATTCGTTTTCATATATTTTCTAATTATCAACCAACCATTATCGGTGATTTTTTAGAATAATATACTGTAAATAAAATTTTGTTGGGAAAAAAAAAAAAAATAGAAGCTACGAGACACCGCTATATATTAATGTTAATGTGATGAGCAATTCAGAAATCGTGGCTTGGAGGCTGTTAACACAACTCAACACAAGAAGTCCATAGACAAAGAAGCTGAAAGATCAGTGAAGTTAAGCTCAGCCAAGGAAGATGTCATGGCAGGCGTACGTGGACGAGCACCTGATGTGCGAAATGGAGGGAAACTTCCTCAACTCCTCCGCCATCATTGGCCACGACGACAGTGTCTAGGCCCAGAGGTCCTCCTTCGCTCAGTTCAAGCCTGAAGAAATAACATCAGATATTAATAATTAGGACAAATTACATATACCCTCGAGGTTTAGCAAAATTATAGATATTCTCCTGAGGTTTGAGAAATTTCAGATACCCCCTGAAAGTTATATTTACATAACAAATTAGGGGACAAATTATTATGAAAATATAAATTTCAGGGACCAATTTGTTATGAAAATATAAACTTCAAAGGGGTATCTGTAATTTCCAAAACCTCAAGGGTGTCTATAATTTAGCTAAACCTCGAGGGAGGTACATGTAATTTGCCCTAATAATTATATATTTGGATTAATATTATATTACAAAAAAATGATGATTCGTCTTGAAATTATATTTGTTGTTTATTTTTAAAAAATAAATATGATTTAAACATATAACTATCGATATCTAATCATTGGATTTGTTTTGGCATACATATTCTACTGAATGAGTTCAAAAAAGTAAATGGTTTGAATTACCGAAATCGATTTCAAAATGGACTTAACTAAACCCAAACACTTTCTCAAATGACAACTTGAGAAAAATTAAACATTAAAATTAATAGAACATTGCCATTCAAATCAAAAAAATTAGATTCACTTTTCAAGAGTAATGATGTGATAATCAATTAAAATATTAAAAGTAACATTCGTTTTCATATATTTTCTAATTATCAACCAACCATTATCGGTGATTTTTTAGAATAATATACTGTAAATAAAATTTTGTTGGGAAAAAAAAAAATAGAAGCTACGAGACACCGCTATATATTAATGTTAATGTGATGAGCAATTCAGAAATCGTGGCTTGGGGGCTATTAACACAACTCAACACAAGAAGTCCATAGACAAAGAAGCTGAAAGATCAGTGAAGTTAAGCTCAGCCAAGGAAGATGTCATGGCAGGCGTACGTGGACGAGCACCTGATGTGCGAAATGGAGGGAAACTTCCTCAACTCCTCCGCCATCATTGGCCACGACGCCAGTGTCTGGGCCCAGAGCTCCTCCTTCCCTCAGGTTGTTGCTTTTATCCAATTCATACAAGTCAATTAAGTGATGATGGGTTTGATGCTGAAATACGGATCTGATTGGGTTTAATATGCTTTGTGTGTGGTTTTCATGTCTGATATCGATCTGATAATACTATACTACAATGCTCTTTGTGTTCTAGTTTTGTTCAGTTTAATTGGGTTTATAAAAGATTGTGGTTTGATTGACTTAATTTACTCTGGAATTGTGTTTCATATTGTTTGCGGGTTTTGATTTTGGATTTTTCTATTGGGTTTGATCAGTGTGTTCTTAATTTAAGGAAATAACTTAGCTTGAGTAGATTTCATTTGCGTAGACTACTTCCAAGTCAAGTACACTTGGTAGTATAGTACCTCTTTGTGTTAGTGATATGTATGTTTTCATTGAATATAAAGCCTTTTACATTGTGTTTTGTTGGTTAGAAGATACATTTGAGATGATATCTGTGGAGTCAATTGGATGATGCTTAAATTGATAATGCTGTTTTATTCAACCTTGAAAGTGTGAAGTTTGGTTGAGAGAGCTTGTGGATATGCAGTTATGGAGTTTTGGACTACCAATTTGTGACATATTCTTAGGTGCATTTTTTTGAAGGGCTGCAGCATTTTTTCTTAAAAAAAAGAGGAGTTAAATAGTTTGGAAGGGATCTTAGTTCTTGGAGAGAATAAAAGAAGCGAAGAAAATGCTGAGAATTGAAAAACTGGAATTGCCTTTGTTAATGATAATTTCGCTTTCCTCTTATTCTTTTACGCTGTGTTTGGTTTTGGTTGAGGGATTTGGGGAGGGATTGGGAAAGGGAAAGGGAAAAGGAAAAGGTGTGTGAAACTATGTGAAATGTAAGCATGTTTTTTTCACATTTCACCTATCTTTTCCATTTCTCTTTTCAAATCCCTCCTCAAATCCCTCAACCAAACACAACATTAGGGAATCAATTAGAACATTGGAGCAATCTTTGTTTTGAGAGAGAGAGAGAGATTGTCTGGTCTTTCTCCTCATACTTTTAATTGGATCTATATGTGTGAACTATCCCTCTGTAGAATTGTTGACAATTAAAATTTGAATCATCCTATCACTTAACCAGCTCAGCAAGTTGGGAGCTTTACTGGTTCAAGCAAGGGCACCTTCAACTCTCTTCAAACACTTCTTTAAGATGCTGCTGTTATTGCCTCTTTTTCTGACAAATTTGTATTCATTTTTCTGTATGTGGATGTTTTGTCTAGTTCAAGCCTGAAGAAATAACTGCCATTATGAATGATTTCACTGAGCCTGGTTCTCTCGCTCCAACTGGCTTGTACCTCGGTGGAACAAAATACATGGTGATCCAAGGCGAACCAGGAGCTGTCATTCGAGGAAAGAAGGTGATGAACTCACTTATGATCATGGTCTCATACTGATTCAGAACTCATGTATGTACACATGACAGCTGGGAAAGTATGTTTGACGCAGTTATGTGAATGACATAAATTTGTTGTCTACAATCAATCTGTAACCTAGACTATGCTTTCTGTTATGAAAAACTCAACGAGTTCACCATTATTAGAGATACACCACTTTCTTATGCATTGGTCCCCAATTCATCTGGTCGGTAGCTTCACTGCATTTAGCAGAAAGCTTGATTTTGCATACGAACAACTGTTTTGGTGAACGACGTCTCTGACAATTCACTATGTAGTTCTTGATCGTGTGTATCACATGCACAGTCACATGCCTTCTGCCGAGGTTGAGGTTAGAAAACCCATGTCAAATTTATAAGGCTATTTCAAGACGTTTACGGAAGATTAATTTCATAATTCCAGAGGATTGCATACATTCAATTTGAGTACATGGAAGTTGGAACTACATATGATTTTACATTGCTTATAACTGAAGATTGATCGTAACCACAGACTCATCTTATTATTATTTTTTTGAGAAGATTGAGATTGATGTTTTAGAAGATTTGTGATAAATATTTTTTTTTCTTGTAGTTTGATATGTACACATTGTTTCTTCCTAATAGTTGTTTGTTGTTGACCCCTCTTGCTATGCTGATTTCAGGGACCTGGTGGTGTTACTATTAAAAAGACCAACCAGGCATTGATCATCGGTATCTATGATGAGCCCATGACGCCGGGCCAGTGCAACATGATTGTTGAAAGGCTTGGCGATTATCTCATTGACCAGGGTCTTTAATTGCTTTGGTATGTTTTGTTCTGTACTGCAATTTTTATCACCTTCTTTACTGGCATTGCATCTAATCACCTTTGTCGGCATGGTTGCAGTGGAATAATGATATATAAGTACTTGAAGTTACGCAAAACTCCTTATGGGAACAAAACTGTTTGGGGCTTGAGAAGTGCTATATATATGATCTTCTTTTGAGTTGAAACTGTCTCTGTATTCTCTTGATAAAAAGTTTACAATGATTTGTGAGTGAGGCACTTATCTACATTGGAGTGGCTTTCCTTTAATGGATTCTAACTTGATTGGAATCTTTCATAATTATAATTTGTGGTTTGTGTAATCATCTCTCTTGTACCCTTTTTGTTTCTTTTTTTGTTTTAATCAAATTTGTTTGTTATTTATTTGGTGGTTAGCTGGATTGTTTTTTTGTTTTTTGGTTTTTGGCACAGCAAGCTTTTAGACCATCTCCAACCGTTCATCAAATTTTACATCAGATTTGAATTTTGGTAAAAAAGTTATTTTTTGGAGTTCCAATAGTTTCACCAAATTAGTATCAAAATGAAAATTGAACAAAAAATTCATTCAGATTTCACCATTTCACTGTGTGTTACCGTTGGGGTGGGCCAACCGGTTGACCAACCGGTTGACCAACCGGTCGATCGGTTTCCTTTTAAATAGGTAGGTTCAAACCAATCAAAAAAAGTTCAAACAGGTGAAAAAAAAAAAATCTGCCCTTATCAGTTGGCCCTTCTTTTTTGATGCACGATTGGAATAAGTTATATCAAATTGAGAAAATTAATTTTTTTTATTCAAATTTAATAAAAAATTTAATTTACTGTTGAAGATGTCCTTATTACTTAAAAAAAACAAGCAATATACAATAAATCTCAAGGCACATGTCCCAATACAAGCACGGACATGGCCAAATGACTCGCTACCTCACAAACGAGGCATCTCACAAGTTGAAAAGGCTAGGCCAACTGGAAAACATCTTCTTACAATCCGAGAAAAGCAGGCACACCGAAACAACATAGAAATTTGGAAACTTGATAAAAAGTCAGGTTACATGTGATAGAAGTTTAAAATTATGATTTGATTGTAAGATAAATTGATGTATTTTTATTGATTGATATGTATTACAAGATTGTTGTGTATATTGATATATAGTATTACAAATCAGAGTGGCATTATATAGGAGAGGGTTTGGGTTAGTGAGTGGTGGTAGTGGATGGTAGTGGAGGTGGTGGGTGGTAGTGGAGATGGTAAGTGTGTTAGGTTTAGTGGGGTGGATGTAGTGGGTTAGGTTAGTGGGTTAGGTTTAGTGTACATTAACAGCCCCCCTCAAACTCAAGGAGGATAGGAACTAACCAACTTAAGTTTGAAGAGAGTAACAAAACAGAAAAAAATAAACTGACAAATAAAACAGGATAGGAGACACGGTATGGTCGTGTCAGACCGATGTAGCAGACAGTTTACGGGGTCATGTCGGACCGTTGTAAAAGACAGTTTACGGGGTCATGTCGGACCGTTGTAAAAGACAGTTTACGGGGTCATGTCGGACCGTTGTAAAAGACAGTTTACGGGGTCATGTCGGACCGTTGTAAAAGACAGTTTACGGGGTCATGTCGGACCGTTGTAAAAGACAGTTTACGGGGTCATGTCGGACCGTTGTAAAAGACAGTTTACGGGGTCATGTCGGACCGTTGTAAAAGACAGTTTACGGGGTCATGTCGGACCGTTGTAAAAGACAGTTTACGGGGTCATGTCGGACCGTTGTAAAAGACAGTTTACGGGGTCATGTCGGACCGTTGTAAAAGACAGTTTACGGGGTCATGTCGGACCGTTGTAAAAGACAGTTTACGGGGTCATGTCGGACCGTTGTAAAAGACAGTTTACGGGGTCATGTCGGACCGTTGTAAAAGACAGTTTACGGGGTCATGTCGGACCGTTGTAAAAGACAGTTTACGGGGTCATGTCGGACCGTTGTAAAAGACAGTTTACTGTATTACAAATCAGAGTGGCATTATATAGGAGAGGGTTTGGGTTAGTGAGTGGTGGTAGTGGATGGTAGTGGAGGTGGTGGGTGGTAGTGGAGATGGTAAGTGTGTTAGGTTTAGTGGGGTGGATGTAGTGGGTTAGGTTAGTGGGTTAGGTTTAGTGTACATTAACATTGATAATGGAATTATATTTTGTCTTTGTGAGTTTTGAAATTATAATTTAAATGTAAAAAATTTGTTTGATTATGAATTTTAAAAAGAATTTGAATTGAATGATGTGACATATAATATTAGAAAGTGGGTGTTTTGGAAAATAGGTTTAACCAAACAATACAGTCAAATTAAGGGGCATAATTAAATTTTAAAAACTCTATCAATTTTTTGGCTTTTTATTAAGTTTTTCCAAAAAATTACCAAAAAAACTATTTTTTTTGGCCAAAAAAGTCACTAAAAAAAGTCAAAAAATTTAATTTTTTATCAACTTCTCAAAACACATCATAACTAGGAGTATAAAAAATTGGATGGAACTTGACAACTCAAAACTGACCAAAATTTCAGTTTTCAATTTGTTTTTCATGGCGTACAATCTATTTTGATTTTATATTTTTTTATATTGATACGAATAGACCTGAACCAATTGAAATATTATTTTTAAATATTTTCATATTGTAATTCATTGAACATTAGAAAATAAGTGGCCAGTAATATATTTTCGGTAATAAAAATTAGGAAGAAGGCATGATTTATTCTTTACAAGTTTTCAAAACAGATAAAACAGTAGTGCAGTCTATTTTTGTTCCGTAATCAACAAAATTGAATAGTTTGATTTTGTATTACACTTTCCCTCAATACTAATTGAATCGAACTTATACTCCTAGATACAACCACTGCTCTTTAAATTCTTGTTCTAGCAAGTTTGATGTTATAAGTACTTTTCTTGACCTTCTTTGTGGTTTTCATTTCTTCATGCTTTCTCTATGTTTCAGTGTTATTCATAGCTTCTGGTGGTTGTATTAAGGTTTTTATTTTTTGAACAGATGTTTGTATTAAGGTTGGTACAGCTTTTTTGAAGCTAAAAGTTGATAATAAAAAAGTAGTTTAAAAAAATTCATTTCTTAATTTCTTAGGATAATCATTTTTTTTTATAATACTTATTGAATCTAAATCTGCCTTATAAGTTATAAGTAAAAACGTACCAAATTGTCTACGATAAAATTTCAAAATAAAAAATAGAGAGAAAAATAAACAATACCAAACATATGCTCTAAACCTTTTTGGCAGGACTGGGATTGGCAGCATCACTCCAAACAAAAGAAATATTCATTGCAAAAAATTGTTGGTCCAAACAAACCCTTTTGTATTTGAGTTCAGACAAAATTACTGGACGGCCAAAATGATAATTCTTCATCCTAGTAAAAAATTGTTGGTTACTGGCAAAAAATAGTTGTAGAAGTCTATTTTCACACTCCATTTTCTTGTAGTACACCTTTTTTCCCCCGGAAATCAATATTCAAAAAAAACTTATGGCTCGAAAATTAACTTCCGAGTAAAAACTTTACAGTTCAGTTGTACCTTTTGTTTGGAAGTTGATTTTAGATTTATGTAATTTTGTTCATAAATTAATTTTCAAATAAAAAATAATGTATGAACTAAAAGAAAGTAGAATGTAAAAGTAAAAGGGAAATTTACAAATACATGCAGTAGCAACTCCACAAATTTTTTTCAGAGTGTTTACAGTGAATATTTTAGGAATTTTTTTCAAAGTTGACATTCAAAAAAAAAAAATTAGACTTTTCAAATCACACAAATAAATAAATAAATAAAATAAAATTCTAATATATTGATATCATTGTTTCAAAAAATAAAATGTAAATATAAAACTTTACATAAATATATATTATTTTTATTACTAGCATGATAAAATGAGATTTTTTTTCTGGTAGAGTCTGATTTCTCTATAGTTGATTTATAAATAAGTGTTTAAATGGTTCAAGTGGTACACTTGTTAGGAAGGTTTTTTTGCACAAGCTAAAAAACTTCAAAATTTGATGTGTGTTCACTTCAAAAAGCATGGCAGAATATGCTAATTTAGTAATTTTTTTATTATTTTGATAAAATATGAGCTAAAAAAAACTAGTATGTTTGGGATGACTTTTTAGCTTTTACGAAAAGATGTGCAAAAGTAGAGTGAAAAAAGAATCTTTTGACCTTTTAGTATAGATTATTGATTTTTTGACTTTTTTAATGACTTTTTGACTTTTTGACTAAAAAAATCACTTGCCAAACGAGGCCAAGGGTTATGAGAGTGGGTTAGGTGTTGAAGAAAGTAGGTTGGGTGAGTGTTCAACTACGCAGAGTATTCAAGAAAGTGAATTAGGATATTCAACATAAAATTTTGAACTGGATTATACATATATATATATACAGTTCCAAAATTTTCAATTGAACACTTAGACAATCACAAAATAATGGCTAAAATAGCCAAAAAAGCCTGGTTTAGCCCTTGCCAAACACAGGCAAAATTTGATGTGTGTTCACTTCAAAAAGCATGGGTTAATTTAGTAATTTTTTGGTTATTTGGATAAAATATGAGCTAAAAAAAACTAGTATGTTTGGGATAACTTTTTAGCTTTTTACGAAAAGATCTGCAAAAGTAGAGAGAAAAGAGAATCTTTTGACTTTTTAGTATAGATTATTGATTTTTTTATTTTTTTAGTAATTTTTTTATTTTTTGACTAAAAAAATCACTTGCCAAACGAGACCAAGGGTTATGAGAGTGGGTTAGGTGTTGAAGAAAGTAGGTTGGGTTGGTGTTCAACTACGCAGAGTGTTTAAGAAAGTGAAGTAGGATATTCAACATAAAATTTTGAACTGGATTATACATATATATATATACAGTTCCAAAATTTTCAATTGAACACTTAGACAATCACAAAATAATTATATTATAAATAAAAAAATTTAAATATAATTTTAACACAAAAAGTATTACACCAAGTATGTGAGTAAATTTTCATCCCGCCTGTGTAATTTTTTTCCAAAAAGTCAACTCGTGCTTGTGGGACGTCAGTTCAGTTTGTAATACTTTTGCGTAAAATTAATTTTTTTTTAATCTTTTTTTAATATTACGTTTAAAAATTTTAATTTTTCTAATAATATAATTATTATATTTTAAAATTATTAATTTTTTAAAATTATTCTTTAATAGTATATTTTTAAAAAAAATATTAATTATCATAATTGTATTTTTTATATTATTAATGAATTTAAAAGAACAAAATAATAAATTCATATTATTTTATTCCTTAATTTTTGAAAAAAAAACTAATATTTTGAGATAATAAAAAATAGAATAAAAGACTAATATTTTGGAACAGAGAGAGTAAAAAATGTTACCTGGTGAAAAATCACATTCAAAAATCAGTTAAAATTTTAAATTTTAATTATAACAATAAAAGGATGAAAGATTAAAATAAAATTCAGTTAAGAAATAGAAAATGAAAAATGTAATTTACTCAAGGAATAAAGAAATTCAGAATGGAAAATCAATAAGTTGGATAACTCACTTTTGTATACTTTCCCTTATTATTAATAAGGAAATTACTCAACAGTATGATAGAAAGGTAAATTACACTTTAACTCAATGTGATTTACCCAAAAAATATAGAGCCCCCTATAATTTTAGTTGTAACACTTAAACCTGTTGAATTTTATACCAAAGTCCAATTTCAGACGAAACCGTTTGTTTCAACAGAGTGTGTTGCACAACCATAAAATCAAAATTTTCTCTCATCAACCATACTGGATAATTCCTTACCTTCTTCTTTTTGAAAACCAGAGACGTTTGTTCTCTCTCTAAAATACTTCCCTCTCTAGTTTATCTCCCTCGTTTCTCCATCTTTCCCTTTTATTTTTGTTTCATTATTTTCTAAAATGTATGTCTATCATTCTCTTAACTCAAATAAAGTCAATCTAAAAATTAAAATTAACCTAACCAAGCTCAACCTCTCTCGCTTCTACTTCTCCATCCACCGTCATATGCCTCCTTTCACTGTTACCGTGTTACACATATTACCGCCATCTCCCATTTATCCTTCTTCATCATTTCCTACAACGACCTAAGACTACCATCACTGAAACCACGAGTTCCCATGGTAGTCTCTCACACTCTCACTACCGTGACAACCACCACCATCCTTCATCTTCTCTTTATCACTATAGACACACATACATTATGTGCCGTTTTGGGAAGTGGCTAAAAACGCCACGTTTTTGTTGCTGCACAAAAAAGCTGAGGCAAGCATTTTGGGCAATTCTTGCCTTTGGCAAGTGATAAAAAAGCTAGGTTGGCTAATTACGTAAATATCCTCCAAGTCAACAAATTGTGTAAAATTTTAAAGTTTAGTAAGGGTATTTTGGTCATTTCAATTTGATTTGACACCATAAATAAATATTAAATTAAAAAGCAAAAAAGCCAACTTTTTACCAACTTCCCAAATCACTTTCCAAAAAGCTAAAAAGCTTGGTAAAAAGCCAAAAGTCAGCTTTTTACCAACTTCCCAAAACAACCCTATATACATAAGCATATTCAATTAACTAAGCCAAGACCCAAAATTATAATGGTGGCTATCACCATGGGTGCCGTAAGAGGGAAATGTGGTGGGCATTGGTTGAGTGAAGGATATGGGATGAGCTTGGTATATAAATAGGCATATCCAATTAATTAAGCCAAGACCCAAATTATAGTGGTGGCTGCCAACATGGGTGCCGTGAGAGGAAAAGATGGTGGGTGTTAGCTGAATGAAGGAGATGGGATGAGCTTGGTAAGTGTTTGCAACTATGAACTGTTTGTTTGGGTCTAAATTCTAGAGAGAAGAAGATGAGTGTTTGTTTGGATCTAAATTCTAGAGAGAGAGAGAGATGAATCTTTGTTTGGGTCTAAATTCTAAAGATATATATATATATATATATATATATATATATATATTGAAAAATGCTATAGGTTTCAAATTTTCTACCAAACAAATGATCAAATGTCTCACATAGGTGTAAGATCCGCAACCCATGTGAGACATTTGGTTATTTGTTTGGTAGAAAATTTAGTATCCCTAACATTACCCATATGTATTTAATGATAGTATGAGAGGTGTGTGGTTTGCCATGAGATGAGAAAAAAATGAGAAAAGAAGAAGAAAAGGAAAAGAATACATAAGAATTAAAGAAAAATGACAAAATATTATAATTTGTAATGGCACTAAGAAGAAAATTAGAGAAACAAATAACGTAACTTTAGATTTTTTACAACTTTTGTTGCGGTTGTCCGAAATTGCCTTTTGGTATAAACTTCAAAGAGTTTTGAAGTGCAATAAATGAAATTATAAAGAGACTCCGTATTTTTTAGGTAACCCAAAAGGGTTAAAGTAAACCAAAAAGGTTAAAGTGTAATTTATCCTAATAGAAATTATGATTATTAGGACTTAATTTTTTTACTAGATAAATTCAATTTTAAATGCTAAATAGGTTATCAAATAAGTGAAATCATATCTGAATGAATATTATCCATTCAAGAGCCAAAAATAAAAACATAATTAAACACAATATTTATAATTTTATAATTTTTCATAAAGAATTCCCAACGAAACACAAGGCTTAAAATGCCATTAACATTATAAAAAAATTAAAAAGCATGAAAATAAAAAAATAAAAAATAAGGTTGCGTGTGGTTGTGTTTTGTAAATGTGATTTGAGAGTATGAATTGTATTTTGAGTTTGTGTGTTGTAGAATTATGATTTGAGTGTAGAAAATTTGTTTGGTAAAGAGTTTTGAAAATAGTTTTGGAAAAGAGGTTTGATTTGAGTGGGGAATTGTTGATGTGATATTTGATATGTGATACAAAAATTTACAACTCATAACTAAATATACAACTCAAAATTATTTTAAAGCACATTAAAAATTAAAAAAATTTTTTCCAATATAAAAAAAAATATAAAAAAAAAAAAAAAAAAAAAATTCCTGTACAGCAGAGGACATCCGGGTGGATGTCCCCAAGGACGTCCGGGCGGTAGTCCCTAAGGACGTCCGGGTGGTCTTCCCCTAGCCAAAATTTTCACAAAAAACGCGGCTGTAATGCAGAGCTCTCTGCAGAGGTTTGGAAAGTTGATTCTAAACACACAACCAAACATCATACTGAAATACACCTGTAGAATTACATTTTGAATTCACAACCAAACAGAGCCTAAATTATTAGTAAATGACATTCCTAGTAATAAGATTCTCATTCTGCCTCAAAATTTCTATAATGTGAACATAACCTAAATGTATAATGCATCTCTCAACAGCCTCAAAATGAGCTGCAATCAGTTCATAGGGATTCTGTGCACTCCTCTCTATCAATTGTCACAGAGAGAATTTAAATACTGGGATTTGATCAAAACTTGGAACAAAAATGTATCTCATAAAACAAAAAGTTTGCAACTTGGACCTCAAATATATAGCTTACAAGTACTAGTAGACAACTCACATCTTAAGCTGCCAATCCACAACAGAAGTTTTGTTCTAGCTATCCTATATATGCATACAAGAATCAACAAATTATAGGGCATCTAAAATCCCATTAAGGGACTAGTCTTGCAACCCATCTACCTAATACGCACCTACCAATAGATATCACACAAAACTAGGTACCTCCATTGGCATATGTAACTCTTGCAAAAAATTTCTCGTACGTACCACCTCTTGCTTGCATGAAAACGCTTTAGTCCAAACATCAGCCTTTGTCACGCAATGTTGAGGTTCAGAAAAATGGGAGCAAGGTCAAAAGCAGGAGGCAACTAGAGATCCACAAAGAGAGTACTGTTTGAATGGACGAAGAAGTAGAAGGAACCTCTGTCACGTTACTTGCAGCAGTTTTGTTGCTCCTGTAAAATTTGCACAACAAAGACCAGGATTATGAATACAAAATGTACACAAAAGTAGAATCAATACTTCGAATCAAAATGAATGGTATATGAGATGGTAATTATACCCGGCGATCATATACAAGCAGTTGTCATAGCCTGCATGACAAAACACACAGGTTAATGAGAAAACCAAACACACAGGTTAATGAGAAAACCATTCATTAATATATGTGATTCCATTCATTTTCTAAAGCTTGAACGTTAATGCTAAGTGATAGACAGCGTGTTCAATGTCTGAAGTGTAATCCAAGTCTAATTTTCAATCAAAATAGTAGGGCATGTTTTGACATGCGTCTAAAGAATATCGTGTCGTGTCGATGTCAAACACAACATGCCAATTTTAGAAATGTTTGTGTTTCTTAGCTCCCCAAAAATAAAGGTTAACTCTTGGTATACATACTTGGATTCTTATTTGTTTTAACCCCAGCTCCTCCAAAACCGCAAGCAATATCAGTAGCTCCATTTTGCTGGTAATAACTGTTGAATGCATATGATGCATGCGAAACTAGATTATCCGGCTCAAAACAAGGCTGACTAGGCTGAATAGCAGAACAGTCCACATTCCCGGGCCCACAAGCCCAATCCAAAGCACTCTGCAAGTCAACTTCTGAAGCCGTAGACGAAGCAATACACCACGTTCCATTCGAACCTGTGACATTCGCTTGTGTAGTCATATCCACGGCACCTCTTCCGGAGAAATCAAGGCTATAGACACTCGTTTGGTCTGGATAAAACAACCCCCAATTCCTCTCGGATTCCAATCCTGGTTTCCTATTCTCATTGAACAGCGAAAAGATATACACGTCTAGCGCCTCTCCAGGTTTTGCAGGGGTACCTGTGTCGTTGATGACATGTCGAATCAGATTTGTGTTGTAAGTCTGGGCATTATCCGGAGTCGCAGCCGTCTCTTTGGCCGACCCTTTGGAAGGCCATCCCGTCTCAGTAACCATAATCTTGATTGTTCTGAAATTTAGAGCCATGAGAGCGAAATAAAGGGCATCGATCTGTGCATCAAACATGTTGGTGTATAACAAACCGGTATTCGGGTCGATAACCTCCGAGGATGACTCGAATAGAGCGTATTCTAGCGACACATTGTTCGGGGAATCTCTATAAGCATAGTAAGGATATAAGTCAATCATGAACGGTGACTGGTGCTCAGCAAGAAATTCTAACATGGGTTTCAGAAAGAACGCGTGACTGCTGTTAAAAGCCCCGGCAGAAGGCGGGAAGGATCGAGACAAAACTCCAAGAGAATGAGTACTCGAAACTTTAATCTTTCTTTGTAAACCGGCTTTTCTCAAAGCAGTGAAAACATTTTGCATAGCAGGCACTACCATGGCAGAGACATTATTGGGGACTTCTGTAACTTCGGCACCAACAGTTATGTAAGTGATCTTTGTGGCCGGATAGTAGGGAAGGATGTTGTTCTTTAGCCAGGTGTCAGCGTTGGATTGGAACTGGGAGAACGGTAACAAGTCTGAATTTGTAATCCCAACCATGAGCTCAACGCCGGTGTTTGCAAATGCCTTGAGAACTTGGATATTAGAGTCATATATCCTCAAATACTTGACGTTATGAAGTTGAACCAATTGTGCTACTTTATCTGGTGTGGGGAGATCATCGGCATTTCTTCCATAGCAAACTCCAACTTTGCTTCCCTTGCAGATATCTGCATTGTAAAGAAATGTATGCATCAATATATCTATAGAGCATAAAGGAATTTTAATATCATAACGAGAGAGACAGAGAGAGAGATGACAAAAGTGTGGTTTCTATACATGCCCTAAAGCAATGAACTACATCTGCAAATGTAATGATTTCCAAAATTTACCTATTTGACAATGTATTGTCCCCAAAGAATAAAAATAAAAATAAACAAGTGGCAGAGAATGTAATCTATATGCTACCTTCAAGCACTATAAATTTCTCGACATCTAGATATTGTGTTGAAAACTGAAAAGTACATAAAATTGATAACCTCTCCAGGCAACTAGAAATATTGAATTAGATATCTATTGCTATCTGCATAGAGCCCTTGACATAGCGAAATGACGAAAAACGATTCATGTAGTTGCCCACTTGATTAGGACAAAGGTTTAGTTTTGTTTAGTTTAGTTTGTGTTAGATTTATCTATTGCTATTGTTTGTATAATTAAGCTTTGATAACATGCCAACATTTCACCTCCATAAGGTATGTCCCTTGTTTCATCTTCTTCCTCGAATCAATATAAAGGGTCTAACCCTAGCCCTTCCTCCTCCACCCACCACCACACTGCTGATTATTAAGGTTAACAACCCTTTTGAAATTAAATAACCACTGAGAGAAACACCAACAAAACTACACAAAGGAAGAAAAATGCCACGAAAGAAAAATGTCATGGATGTGTCTTTTTATGCAATCAAGTGAGAAATTGTTGGTTTGTTACATGACAACAGCTAATTTTTTAATTTAAAAAACCAACCTTTGAATATCAATCAAAAGAAAAGTTTAAAAATTAGTATAAGACGAGGCTTTGATGATCAAACACATAAATTGATGGACTGGCACTTAGATGTGCTGCAGCATACACATCATGGACAATTATTAGGGTCTGAAATATGCAACCTCAATTAATGCACTTTGCTGTCCAATATGTCCAGATCCTACGTAATTGAAATATGCAACCTCAAGGTGGTGTTTGGCAAGTTGGGTTGGGGCTAAAATAGTCACAAAAGACAAAACAGGCTATTTTAGCCACAACAAACAAAACATCACATCCAACCCATAATCGTTACACTCTTCTCTCACAAAAAAAGTCAAAAAAGCCAAAAAACTAAAAAGTCCTTCCCAAACCAAGCTTTTTAGCCCAGGCTAAAATAGCCAAAAAAGCCAAAAAGCCAAAAAGCCAACCCACTTCCCAAACGGAGGCTAAATGTGTTCAAACCACGGAAATAGCTTCTCCATACCATATGTGGGTAAGCTTTGTACCAGATTGTGAGAGTCTCGTGCACTGTGCCTGTCTTTTTCAAAGAGTAAAGTAGGGCTATACGTATGGAAAATTATATAGTGCTCCCAACTTGATTTTTACTTCCATTTCCATTGGTTTAAATAAGGGGACCCATGACTTTTTTCCATTATGGTTGATTTTTTAGAGACAACAAGACAAGTGTCACAGCATAAATGGTGTGAAACATTGGTCCAAGACCCCAAAATAACTTCTCTACACATGCATAGATGTATGTACTATCATCACTTCCAACCAACCACACATTGTATGTATGTATGTATGTATAAGTCCAATGTATGTACAAGTCTAACGTATGTACAGTGAAAGAACCCAGAAAGAAACAATGTAGAAACGAGGAACACAAGTTCCAAAAAAGATGATTTTAGGCACAAAACAGAGCAGAATGAGATTGTGAGCGAGAAAACATTAACATTTGTTCCATACTCTGTTCAACGATGATAAGCTTCAACAAAAAACCCTAAAAATCAGATGCTGATACCAACAAATTAAGATCAAATCAGATGCCCAAAACAATAAAATGCTCCCAAAATCCACACATATACACAAATACAAGCATATATAAATACATATACATGTGTTTATATATATATTGAGAGAGAGAGAGGGAGAGATGAAGAATGAGGAATGTAGCACAAACCCAGAAGCATTAGGAGAAGAGAAGTCGCAAATATGAGCCTGAACCCTCTCGCCATTGCTGTCCAAAGCCTCTTCGCCTTCTTCTCCTTCTTTGCTCTATCTCTACTTATTTGTTGCTCTCTTTACTTTACTCTTTTGCAACGTTCTTTTTCTTTCTTTTTTTCTATTACAACGTCTCTCTCACTCTCTCTCACTCTACATGAAGCTACATAAACAGAAAGTTTCATTTTCAAGATTTCATAGAAATCATCTACATGAAGCTATATAAACATGATGGAAAATTTGGAGTTATATTTTATGCTAATCTTCTAATCTGGTGCACTTTGCTAATCTGGTGCCTCTTGCTAATCTGGTGCCTCTGTATCTGTGTGCTGCTTTGGTGTACCTTTGCTCTGTTTTTCTGTATATGTGTTCTAGTATGCTGTTACATTGGTGTATCTACTGTTGCATTAGTGCTTCTCTAGCACAGCTATCTTGTTAGCTGCTGTTTTTTGCTATTTTATTTTTGTGTTTTGTGTTTGGTTGGTGAGAAAAAGTAGGAAAGAATTTACAATAGCTTCAGTATCATCTCCACCAGTAGGACAGCTACGTCCTCTAGGTTAAAACTCTGCAGTTTAGGCCAATTTGTGAGGAGGTGGTCAAGTGCACAATAACCCTCAGTTAACAAATGCCTCATCACCCCAAAACTACCTTATGGTTAAGAATTCCATCTTTCCTGAAGTATCCATTTGTTGAGTAACTTGATCAAACCTTGACCCAAATGCATTCAATTTTTTTAGACTCATTTTAGCTCAGTAGTTTCAACCTACCTCAGTTGTTTTTATCTTGAACAGCACAATCTTTGTGGCTTTGAAGACTTGAGCTAAAGAGAATATAATCATTCAATATCAGTTTGCAATGGCTTCACTAGGGCATCACCATGCATTGTAACATCTGACACAGAGACCTTGGTCATCATCCTGAACCTAACAGACAACAGAGTCATCCTCAACAAAATATGCCGATTTGTCATCTATTTAAATATTTGTTTTGATAGGTAATTGTCTATTTAAATTATAAAATTGTTTTTCCTACCTTAGTTATAATTACATTTGCAAAATAAAAAAAAAAACTCTAGTAATATGAGTAAAATATGTTTATTAAGCTACGTAATCCAACATGAACTAGGATACAAATCAGGTGCATGCTTGTTGAGCAGTTTGACCAAAACTTTTATTTTTTTACTTACTAGATTATATCAACCAACAAATGACCAGATAAAGTACATGGAAATTACTAACAAAAATGGGCTAAGTTTTATGTGAATTAAAATCTTAAGGACACTTGATATAATTATGTCAAACTTACAAATTAGAAATTAGTAATTATTCAATTTGCGATTCAATACAAGGCATTTCAATTCATGTTTCGAATCTCGATTTGACGACTATGCTCATAACATTTAATTAAGTCCCAATTTGTAATAAGATTCTCCTTTGTTTGTTGGTGTAATATAAGAACGTCAAGATGTACAACCTTGTTTTGGCACATGAGGTTCATCTCCCATTTGATGATTGCACTTTTAGGCATGAGCCAAAGGCTATTTTAATTACCTATGACGGGTTTGTGTATTTTCATGTTAGCATTTTAGCAAGGTATCACATAAAATGGAGAAGCATGATTTCATTTTTATTTTATATCCACTTACGTTTTATTTTATTATATTATTAACTATGAAAGGGTTACTTATTCAGTCATATAGAATCAGTATCTCTGTTTACTTGCGTTCTATCTAAATTCATTCTGACAAACAGGATCATTTTGTGCTTGCGCTAACATAAAATGTGTCTAGGTTTATCCTGAAGGAACACATTTGATGATTCCCTAGTTTGAAAGGCCTATTGTTTATGATGTTCGTGCACGTCCCAATCTTGTTGAGAGCTCTTCGGGGAGTCACGATCTCCAAATGGTAAGTTTGTTTTACAGATTTTCTTATATTTATCATGCACAAAATAAAATGACAACAAAACTTGCTGGTTTATTTTAGTGACTTTTTCCAGATATGGCATACTTGATCTCTTCATAAATTTAAAAGTTTTTGAACTCTTGATTGAAGCCTGAATAAAAAGAATTACGTGCCTCAAAATAAGCTTTCACTTTTATATGGTTGTCAAGGAGGTTAATTTATGGAAGCATTCTGATCTTTCTAAATCCCTTTTGTAGATTTGATTCTTGTTATTTGATCTGGGCTTTATTATTTTCATTAATATTTATTTAGCATTGCTATATGCTAGGAGGTCGATTGTCTTTAATTATTCTGGTATTTAATTCCTGCTATTTGTGCTGAATAGGTTAAGATAGCTCTTCGTGTCCTTACACGCCCTGTGCCAGGTCAGTTGCCAACAATCTACCGCACTCTTGGTGAAAACTATAATGAGAGAGTGTTGCCTTCTATAGTTCATGAAACACTGA